CTGTGAGGGTGGTTAGGCCCCGGCACAGGTTGCCCAGAGAAGCTGTGGCTGCCCCCTCCCTGGCAGTGTTCAAGGCCAGGCTGGATGGGGCTTTGAGCAACCTGGTCTAGTGGAAGGTGTCCCTGCCGATGGCAGGGGGGTTGGAACTAGATGGTCTTTAAGGTCCCTTCCAACCCAACCATTCTATGATTCTATGATTTGCCTAAACCACTGTGTCAGCATTTCATCTTAGTGATGCACACAAAACAACCCCAAAATTTGTGTTTGTAACACATTTGATTTTAATATTTTTAATCATCCACTTACAGATGATTACTGAACAATTCTTAAAGACATTTTAGAAGTCTGTAGTCTTTTCATCACCTTCACTACACCTTCTTTGCTTGCTTGGTTCCACATTTTCCTCAGCACCACATTAGGTCTTCCAGGCTTAGTTAGAGGACAATTTTTGAAGTATGAATTTGATGCTGATACGGTGATGTCCTTTCTAATCATAAACACCAACTGAAAAATCCTATTCAATAACCAAACTATGGTATGTGAAGTTTGGTACCTTGCAACTGGTGCTAATAAACTCAGTCACTACTTCCTGCTCTTTACATTAGAGAAAACCTTCCTGCTCTTTATATTAGAGAAAACCTAAATAACCTAGGTTTTCAAGTAATGTGATAACTATTAGTAATAGACTTCTAAGTTATGAATCTTGTGCCTCCAGTAAACATACCTATAAATTAGTTTGTATACAATACTAATTGCTATGAAAAAGACATTTCTAGTAGAACCTCAATAATATTCCCATTTAAGTGTTCTCCTGAAATCAGATTGTTATGACTTTCTGTTATGTAATGGCGTTACTAAATGTTTATTCTCAGTGCCCATTAAAACAAATGTTGTGAAGAAAGGATCTTCTTAGGGGCTTTATGAGTAACACAAAGTAATGTTCACAAATCAGTGACTAAAAATGTTATGATTCTTTATGCTGCTGGTAATAGGAATGTTTTTACAGCTTTGATGAATCTTAATGAAATTAATATAATGAAGATTTACAAAATTCTTAAAAGGTAGCAGTTAGTCTTATGCTGGCAAAGGATATCAGTAGGATAGGATATCAATAGGATAATTCAATACCAAAAGATATCAAAAGATGTCAATTGACAAACACCTTAAACTTGTACTTATCAAATATGGCTTGCAAATTAGGCATATATGAAAATTAGTGTGAGCCATTTAAGTATATACTATATATACTATAATCTTTTCAATACTGGTAATTATTACAGACATCAGCACTTTTTTTTTTTTTGCGTGCAAATATTTAATTAGCAAGTATTTACCAATCTGAATGACCGAAGAACAGATAATCCTTCAACATTTGCAAGACCAAGCTCCATTAAACTAAGGCTAACGATAATACCATCAAAAATATTCCAGCCTTCTTGGAAATAATAATAAGGGTCCATGGCAATTATCTTTAGTACCATTTCTGCTGTGAATATGCCAGTGAATACCTAAAACAAAATGTAATTAATTAGTTGAGTTGTTATGAGAACTTTGTATACCTGAGTAAATAATTCTAATCCAGTTTGAGTTCTTGTACATGTTACTTGTACCTGCTACTATAAAAACCAGCTAATTGCTGTCTCCAAACAGCACCTTTCTAAACACTGAAAACAGATATTTAAAAATAAATTACTAAATCAGGACACATATAGGAGGGCAGATGTTTGATAAAGCTATAAAAAGCTATTCACTAGTGAGAAGCTTAGCTCTGGTTCATATTTGACAGATATGTGCTAGACTATCCATCATCATCAGATGATTCGGTGTTTTCAGTTCCATTTCCAGAGGATAGTCCCAGTAAAGCAAAAGAAGACTTGACAGCATTTTTCTTCCTTGCTCACAGTCTAAACAGAGGTGTTAGAAGAAATCTCTAAGGTGAGACTCTCTAAGGACAGACTCTAAGGTCTGTCTTTTAGGTCAGATTTAAAGAGTACGGGTGGAATAGACAGGGGAAGTTGGAGTATCTTGCACTGGGCTTTTTATAAGGATATAGAGGTTTCACGCACACCTACTATTCTGTGTGACAGCTATTTCCCTTTGGGGAAGAACTTCATGGTGATAATGTTCTTTGAAATATCTGGAAGTGACAAATGTGAAATTATCAACTCTCCTTAGAGTTTTAAAGTCCAGAATTTAACTCAACACTTTCTTGCAATAAGTAGTGATCGGTGGTTTGTGCAGCATAACAAAGTTTTGCAGCATAATGCAAAACCACTAAAAACATACTAATATTCTGCACAACACTCAAAGGATATCCTAGATGATCCAAAAGTCTGCTAAAGTACACCAACGTACTGTGCCATTGCCTTGTGACAGTTCTTCACACAGATGGTTCCTAGTCCTACAGAAAGTTTTAGGGAAGTAAAGCTGACTTTTTACAACACTATGTAACTAGACTCATGATTATCCTTTAATTTAAGGAGATAAGGGGGTGGATATAATGCTGTGGAAACAGTCACCATTGTCAAAGTGTAAATATTAACTTTTTTTGAAGTGTTTTGGGAAACTAGAAATATAGCAAGAAACACTACTGTTAAATTGATATGTGAGAGATGTTGCCATATAATCAGAAGAATATAACAGGTATTGCTATGTGTGGTAAACAGAATGCAACAAAGAATATTATTCTTGACAAAACTGTCATGTTTGTCAAAATAATCGAAAAAAAGCAATTAAAAACTTTTCATTTTTAAAATATTTCCTTCACAAAATAACCCGTTCCATCCACAAACTACTTTTTGTTGTGCATTACTGCGTACCCAAATACACAAAAATAGGTTTTAACAGAAGTAAACTCAAGTTTTCTTATAATTACTTATGACTTTTGAATACGGAATTAATTTTAGTATTATGAAAATGAATCATTGCATTTTACAACTATTTCTTCCTTCTCATTAAAGTGCTACAGAAAGGCAGTCATATTTGTTGTATTTAATTTATCCTCCAACAGACCGTGATATCACAAGCAAAGAGTAAATTAACATATTTTGAATGGAAATCACAAAATTAAGGGTACTAGATTAATACAGTGAGGAACAGAGAATTTAATTGAAACCA